AGAGAGAGAGAGAGAGAGAGAGAGAGAGAGAGAGAGAGAGAGAGAAACCCACAAACATAGCTTTTTAAACAAGAGAGTGAGAGTTAAAAAAACAAGTGAGTAAAATGCTAGACAGTGATTAGTGGAAGAGAGAGAGGTTGGATATATCCCACATCCAAGAGTTGACGGGGAGAAAGTCATCTTAAAAAGTGTCAACTCCGGAACGGTCTGGCAGATATCTGATCCGGATCACCCGATTCCGGATCGGATCACCGATTTTTAAACACTGCATAAAACACCAAGGCTTGCTAATATTCAATGTACTCTAAAAGCTGAGCATGCATCAAAAGGTTCTATAACCAGGAAAGCAGCCAAAATTTTGACGGATAAAAGTACATTTCTCGGTCAGCCTATCAAGATCTGTCATACACAACGGAGACACAAATTTTGCATTGGAATAGAAAAAACAGACATAAAATTTGGATGGAAAATTATCCGTTTCTGAGTTTCTTTGCCATGTCCGTGAGGTACTCCCAGGGCATCACCGGGTGCCTTGTTAATTACTTAGAGAAAGACCCTTAAATCCCAAAGTACCGGGAAAAAGAAAAAGAGAAGGAAGGAAAGAAGAGATAAAAGACATATACCTTTTACCTTTCCATGGTTAAATTTCTGCTTGCTTCTTTCCTCCTCCTTCAATCCCCTGAGTTTGAGTCTCTGGAAACTCTACTCTGTCTAGCTCTCTTTTCTCCAAAGAGGTTCTTCTCAGATATTCTTGTCACACAGAAGTTGTGCCAAGTAAAGTAGTGCCTCTTCTTAGATCTTGTGGACCACTTCTATAGGACTCTCTAAATATAGGACTCTCTAAAATGACCCATTAGATTGAGAAGCGATGAGATGATGACAAGTGTCTACGGGAAGGGTGTGCCCTAGTTTGAGGGGACTTGGAGCATAACTGCTTCCTCCCAGGGCCATCTTGTTTTAGGTGGAAATAAAAAACCTTCTCTCATTATTGAATTATATATTAAGTTTGTTGGAACTTCCTGTGATTGCGCTCCATGCCTCATTTGTTAGTGCATAGAACATTTTTTTGAGAAGTTGTTGACTGTATTTCTATAATATATAGTTTGTTCACAAAATCCCCACTATGGCGACGCACAAAACAGGGAGCTCAAACACAAAAAGGGGTTCCAAAGAGAACCAAAAAACGCATCAACAAAAAGGGGACCTGTAGTCGGATCCCTCCTATCTTATATTTTTTACATGTGCCCATTGTGGATAAAAATTGAGAGATTGGTCCATCTTGTGCTTATCTACAAGTACAAGCACTACTCATTTGACAATGTATTGAAATATGTATATAATACAGTCACCCTGGCAAGGCATTTACACAGACCCTCACCGCTGAGAAGGTGACTCACTGCAAGCAACTTGGACACCAGGATATATAGGTGTGTGAAACAATATTGATTCGCACATGGGTGTGCATGCACTCTTTGCTCAGAGCTATATGAGTTCTATTAGGCCCATGTCACCTAAATGCAAGTCCTATGACTTATCACTTATGCGAGCACTAACTAACAAGAACATGAGTTTGGGAGTAACATTAGATGCCCGACAGAGAGAATATGTGAGTTATACAAGGCATTCACCGCCAAGAACATGAGCATGTAAGTAATATTAGGCACTGATTGCCAGCACCAAGAACATCTATTAGGAACTCACCACCTGAAATATATGTATTTGAGTTTGTATTGGGCAAACGTCAAGAAAATGAGTACATAACTTATATTAGGAACTTACAGCCGAGAACATCAGTCTGTGGGCTATATATGATTACTTACTGAGCACTTAGCATAATTAGTTTAGGTAATTTACCAACCTTAGATCATGAGTTTGGGCACTCGCTGCCCACAACACTGGGTGTATTTTGTATGGGGTGTTAACCCATCCTAAAATAAGTGTTTGGAAACTCACCACCCAGGATACCTAGTTTATTTTGTGTGGGGTGTTAACCAACCCTAGGAAGTGCTTGGGGCTGACTGCCCAGAATACTTAGAAATTTTTTTTATGGGGTTTTTACTGTCTATAGAGAAAGTATCATTTGTGTTAAGAGGTTGGTTGATCATAAACCAAAGGTGCGTAGACACTCACTTCTCAAAACCCACAGCACATATAGGGTAGGATTCACCCCTTTCTCAGACCAGACCATGTATCATGTGTGGGTGGGCAGTCACTGCCCAGGGGAACTTAGGTGATTTTCTAAGAGAAAAGAAAAAGAAATAGGGACTGGATTAACCCCTCCTCTGGAGCTGATTTTTTAGCATTCTTCACTCACAACATTGGTATGTCATAAACATAACAGTCGCATATGCTCATCTTTCCAAAGACTATTGCATCGAGCAATTCCAATCAATGTTTCAAGAGGCCTAAGTTGCTGCAAAGGCTAACTCCTCATGCTCGAGGTAGCCCAGAGGAACAAGAAAGAAAAAAGGGCAAAGCGAGGGGGGGAAGGGTGTTGCTACCTTAATACTCCCAAGTTTTTGAGAGATAGGATTATTCAGAGGGAGAAAGACTGGCTAAACAGAGAGAATATTGGTTGAAGAGAGAATAATAATACACCCACAAGCCACCATATTTTTCAAGAGAGAAAATGGTTAAAAGTGAGATAGAGAGAGAAACAACACATACAACACAACAAACGCACATTCACAACATAACCTCTCTCTCTCTCT